AGTTGCCATAGCAGGCTGTGATGCATCCGGATAGGATGCTTTCTATGGTGCACCTATAAAAATTGGTAAGAGACATTGTGTTCATGCTGAATTTCCTTAGCCTTCTGAGGAAATAGAGGCATTGGTGTGCTTTCTTGACCGTAGTGTCAATGTAGATGGACCAGGATAGATTATTGGTGATATTTGCTCCTAGGAACTTGAACAGGGTGGTTGAAGAGGGAGGGTTGCTTTTGAGACTGAAGGGCTATGACCAGCGGTGTGCCATGAGGATCGGTGCTAGCTCCACTGCTTTTCATCATTTATATGAATGATTTGGATGTGAACATTGGAGGTATGGTTAGTAAGTTTCAAAATGACACCGAAATTGGAGGTGTAGTGGACAGCGAAGAAGGTTATGTCAGAGTACAAAAGGATCTTGATCAGATGGACCAATGGGCCGAGGAGTGGCAGATGGAGTTTAATTTAGATAAATGTGAGGTGCTGCATTTTAGAAAGGCAAATCAGGGCAGGACTTATGCACTTAATGGTTGTGCCCTGGGGAGTGTTGCTGAACAACGAGACCTTGGAGTACAGGTTCATGGTTCCTTGAAAGTGGAGTCACAGGTAGATAGGATAGTGAAGAAGGCGTTTGGTATGCTTGTCTTTATTGGTCAGTGCATTGAGTATAGGAGTTGGTAGGTCCATGTTGCGATTATACAGGACATTTGTTAGGCCACATGTGCAATACTGCATGCAGTTCTGGTCTCCCTTCCAAAGGAAGGATGTTGTGAAACTTGAAAGAGTTCAGAAAATATTTACAAGGATGTTGCCAGAGTTGGAAGGTGTGAGCTACAGGGAGAGGCTGAATAGGCTGGGGCTATTTTCCCTGGAATGCCAGGAGGCTGAGGGGTGACAGTATTGAGGTTTATAAAATCATGAGCGGCATGGATAAAGTAAATAGACAAGGTCTTTTCCTCAGGTGGGGGAGTTCAAAACTAGAGGGCGTAAGTTTAAGATGAGAGGAGAAAGATTTAAAAGGGACCTAAGGGACAACTTTTTTGTGCAGAGGGGATGCGTCTATGTAATGAGCTGCCTGTGGAAGTGGTGGAGGCTGGTACTACTATAACATTTAAAAGGCATCTGGATGGGTATATGAATAGGAAGGGTTTAGAGTGATGTGGGCCAAATGTTGGCAAATGGGACTAGATTTATTTAGGATATCTGTTTGGCATGAATGAGTTGGACTAAAGGGTCTGTTTCCGTGCTGAACATCTCTATGACTCTGTGACACTATAAGGCTCTTGATCACCTCCACCTCACCACCATTGACACAGACAAGGGCATGTCCTCCTCTGCTTCCTGAAGTCGATGACCTGCTCCTTGATTTTGCTGGCATTGAGGGAGAGATTATTGTCTTTACACTATGCCATTAAGCTGTCTATCTCTTTCCTGTACTATCGTCTTTCTGAACTATTCTCTGTACTCTTTCCTATGCAGAAACTCACCAAATTTCCTCACGCAGCACCTTCCAAACCCACGACCACTTCCATCTAGAAAGACAAGGACAGCAGAAACGTGGGAACAACACCAACTTCGAGTTCCCCTCCAAGCCACTTACCATCCTGACTTGGAAATATATTGCCATTCCTTCACTGTCACTGGGTCAGAATCCTGGAATTCCCTCCCTAATGGTATTGTGGGTCAACCCACAGCAGGTGGACTGCAGCAGTTCAAGAAAGCAGCTTACCACCACCTTCGCAAGAGCAACCAGGGATGGACAATAAATGCTGGCCAATCAGCAACATCCATATCCCACAACTGAATAAATTTTGTCATTGTTTGCATTCCGACCCACTACGGTGGTGTCATCAGCAGATTTGTAAATAGAATTAGAGTTGAATTTGGCCACACAGTTCTGAGTGTATAAGGAGTACAGTAAGGGGTTGAGTATTGAGTATGTAGCCTTGCAGAGCAATGGTATTGAGGATTATTGTGGAGAAGGTGTTATCGCCTATCCTTACTGATTGTTGTCTGTCGGTCAGGAAGTTGAGGATCCAATTGCAGTGGGGGTGGTGGAAAGCAGAGTCCTAGGTCTCTAAGTTTGGAGATGTGTTTGTTTGGAATTATGGTGTTCAAGGTGAAGCTGAAGTCAATAAATAGGAGTCTGACATAAGTGTCCTTGTTATCCAGATGTTGAGGGATGAGTGTAGGAGCTCCACAAGGGCCAGCGCTGGGCCTCAGTTTGCAATTTATGTTAGTGACTTAGATGATGAGACAGAGCAATATATGTAAATTTTCTAATGCTACAAAGCTAGGTGGAAAATAAACTGTGGGGAAGGCACAGTATGTCCTCAAAATGATATAAAATGTTACACTAGTGGGCAACAAGATAGGAGATGAATTATAATATAGAGAAATGTGAAGTTCTTCGCTTTGGTCTTAAGACTAGAAAAACTGAGTACTTTCTAAAAGGTGAATCTTGTAAGTGTTGAAGTTCATAGAGACTTGGGTGTGCTTGTTCAAAAAATGCAAACCTTTATCGGTACTTAGGAAGGCAAATAACAAGTTGGCCTTTATTGCAAGGCAATTGGACTGCAGGAATAAATAAGTCTTGATGTAGCTGTACAGAGTTTTGGTGATAATACATCTGGAATGCAGGTACGGGTCTCCACATTTAAGAAAAGATATATTTACATTGGAAACAGTGGAGCAAAGGTTCACTAAATTGGTCCCTGAGATAAATGTTTTGGTCTTAGATGAGGGGCTGAACAAATTGATTCTATATTCTCTGGAGTTTAGAACAGTAAGAGGCAATCTCATTGAAATGTATACAATATTGAAAGGGTACATTCTAAGAGATTGTTTCCGCTGGTTGGGGAATCTAAAATACAGCATGAGCATGATTTCAGAGTAAGATCCCTATAATTTGGGGCTGAGTTACTTCACTGAAAGTTTTTTCTTTGCATGTTTGGGTCTAACTCTATTTTGTCTCTCAAATTAATGCTGCTAGAGTCCATGGAACTTTCTGCAAAAATTCTTAATTTACAAATATATATATAGACCCCAGTTAGAGCTTCCAGTTCACTGTACTTGAATATGTGAATTTGACATCATCATTACATCCTCATTATACATTCTTCTAATGTTGATCCCATTTTTCTGCAAAAGGCAATGAAGACTTATTGATCTGCCGCCACTATTTTGAAACTAAAAGAAAATGTGTCTCTTAATTATGAATAAATACATAATAAATAATACATGAATAATCTTCAGAATTCTCTACCGCAGAGGTTCTAGATGCCCTATTGTTGAACATATTTAAGGCTGGGGTTGAAAGATTTTTAGTCTTTCAGGGAATAAAGAAAAGTGGGCAGGAAAGTGGTTTTGAAGCCCAAGAACAGCCATGATCATATTGAATGGTGTTGGTGCTCCTGTTCCTCCTGTTCTTATGTGGAGCCAAAGTAATGTCTGTCCATATCACGCTTCAATCTGGTGTGGGTAACAAATATCTCCACCAAATAATTTCAGAAGCAAAGGTTCTAAATCATATATGCTTAGTGGCCTCAATTTACCTGTTTCCACTGGACAGCACGCGAAACATGCTTGACAATGTCATCTTTCTTACTCCTTTTCTGGAAGGTAGCTTCAGGATCACAACGTGCATTCTCCCATACTTGCTTGCATATAATGGGAAAATGAGGAAACATGGTCTTTATAGCCATCTGGCTAGATTGGACACTGGACACAAGCCATCTATTAGTCGCAGCACCCAGCATGCTGTAGACAATGGAAGGTACCTCAGAGATTTATCTATATATGAACTTATTCAAGTGGTCTTTGATTATGGCCACACACAGGGGTCTGTAATAAGGAGAAATAATCTTGCAGAGAAAAAATATTTTCTTCATTCAGAAAGGAGGTTGAAATGCAGTTATCTGGCATCTTTCTAAACCAAGCCAATTCAATGGCTGTCTTTGTCATTCTGTTGTTGAACCTGAACAGCTGCAATGGCAAGTCTCGGCTTCTCCGTCGTTTGGAACTGATGGAAACAAAGTTTGATACAGTATAAGATGGCTGGTAATGCACTGTGTGCTCATTTCACACGACTGTTGTAAACGCATTTCAAACTCAAAATATTGGCATAGGAAAATAATCAATTCTGTTGGCTTAATAGTTTAAACTTTAAAACATCAAATTCAAAGGTTTTATGTATTTATTCATAAATAAGACATACATTTTCTTTTAGTTTCAAAGTAGTGGCAGCAGATTGCTAAGTCTTCATTACCTTTTTGACAGTAACTATAAATATTCTACTGTACATGTGCAAATGCCCCACATTTTATGATCTAATCAACAGAATTGCATATATACCTAATAGTGATAATTTTGTGCAAAACAGCAAAATTAGAAGTAGTGGATGATCATTTAAACCAATTAAAAATAAGCACAATCATTGAGCTGTAGATCCTTACCTATAATTCCCTGCGTAATATATCTTGGTATGAGTGGAGTTTTCTGGAGTTTGGTAAACGTCCTTAACAGAGGGCAATGTTAATTTCTTCAGGGAGAAAGATTAGGTGTGGTTTGAAACCAAATAATTAGAACTCTTTTTACAGTGGCTCAGTTCTAAAGCTCTGAGTGAGAAGTTCATTCATGTTAGTGTCGTTTATGTCAATTACTTGGACGGGCAGTGCTGTGGGCCATTATCAGCTCTTCAGTGATGCCAGTAAGGGATGCCATGTCAGTCATGCAGCTGTGGCTCATGGCATAATTTTATAGCCTGTATATGAATGGGTTTATCCTCTTAGCGCTTTACTTGGAATTATTTTTGTAATTTTTTTGGTTTACTGAAATTCAAAACCTCATGTGATATCTTGAAATCGGATCTCATCGTATTATATGATGTACAGCAGTATGGTACAAATAATGACGGTTTGGCAGAGAAAATGCTCAGCATATTTATTTCTTCTAAACTATTGACTAATTAGTCTGAATTAATTTCTTTATTCTTTCCCCCACAGGATTTTTAAGCACCGGTGACCAAGCTGCTAAAGGAAATTATGGGCTTCTTGATCAAATACAAGCATTACGCTGGATTAGTGAAAATATTGCTTTCTTCAGTGGCGATCCATTACGAATAACTGTTTTTGGATCAGGCGCTGGTGCCTCTTGTGTCAATCTGTTGACTTTATCCCATTATTCTGAAGGTAACCGTTGGAGCAATTCAACCAAAGGTATTAAGCAGGTTGAAAATTTTGACAATTTTGGTGTCTGCATGTCACCGCCATTAGTATCGTGTAATGCTCTGTATATATTTCTATATAATTGTTTACTGAAACTCAGAAAAGAGCAATCTCTTTGGCTGTACTAGATGTCTTTTTTTATCCTGAGTCAACTCTTATGTGCATGCTCACATTTTGAGTGACACACTTTCTCTATCCTCTTGATCTTTATAAACAACAGCAAAACACAAATTCTAGTGGACTTCTGAACAGCACACCAGCACATCAAAGTAGCTGATGTTTTTGGTTCTTACCCTTTCTTATAAAAGTGGTTGTCTGTCAAAATAAGCCCACTTCTTGAAATATATGCTGCCAAACTATATTACTAATGACGGGCAGACATATTAAAGTCCTTTTGTCATGCCGCTGCACTTTCTATTTTCATTTTGGCACCAGTGATGTTATTGGATTTGTAGAGTTTCAAATAAAATAAAAGAAAAAAATTCTGTGCCTGGTTCAGAAATCTTTCGTTTGAGAATGCATGAGCTGCTTGCTGTCATCTGAAAAACGTTTGAATGTTTTGCATGCATGATCCAAAATTGTCAAAGCATCGAGGTCACAAGCAGACGTTTATGTGCGTGAGTATCTGTTTACCCCACATGCCTATCACTAGTAGAAGTAGATTAGATTTTAGGCAGAAGGCAAACTTTGTTGTCCATTAGCCCATCAAATTTATTTTCTGCATCCTGCACCAGCCATACATCATTCACACTTTTGCATGACCATTGCCTGCCTATCAGTTATGTTCTGTTTGTCCACTGTCATTACTGTTGTGTGTGTTCTTTATTTTTTCTTTTTGAAAAACAAACTGAATCAGGAGAACATCTCCTGAAAGAACACTGCAAATGAAAACTTGTGCCTTTTATCAATGCCTATCAGACAAAATTGGACCAGTAGTTTCTTCATATTTTCAGATTCATAGAAGGCACATCTGAAAAGAGACAGAAGCCTATTATATTGGGCTTAAAAGGAAATTTAAACTAAATATACTTATGCTAAACTTTGAAATACTAATGACATAGATTATTTTGTCTCAGGACCTTTGCTGTCTCTTCAATGATCTGAAATATATTGTATGCCTGCACTGTGCTGCTGGATTTGACATGATCACTTTTTAATGTATTGATGTATTATTTGAAGAGTTATTGAGCTCCAACTTGGAGCATTTTAAAGGGAGTTCATTGACACACTGATCAATTTGTGTACTTTGAGTTTTGAATACTTCATCTTCCTTCAATTTTCATCTGTCACGCTGATGCATAGAACCATTTTCACATGGTGCAATAACTTGATTAAAGATTTGAAGTTGCCTTGTTACTCTTTTTTTGTAAAGTGTAGGTTGCTGGTTAGTATTTCATATTTTTTCTGAAATGAAACTTTTTTTTATTCTTTATTTGAACTGAAATTCAAAATATTTTAATAAACTAACAAATGCAAATAATTTATTTTGTGATTGAAAGTCAAAGATAAGAAGCAGGAATATTCTGAAACGTTCTCTTATTTTATGCATTTAAAGTTGGTGGTGGCTCCCAGGACTCAAAATTATTCTTTTGGTTTTCTGTATTTTCTAACATATCCCTCGTGGAACACCATGTGATCTTCTTTAAAGCATCTGGTATTTTCCTCATATTTTAACTGAATTCATAACTATGTTCTTACTTTTGAAATATATTTTAAACTAGATAGAATTTCAGTAAGTTTTGTGGTTTCATTTCATTAACCCGCTAGAATTGTGTTACCCAGTTGTCCTCCTATGGCGATCTTTACAATCAAATTGTAAACCTTAAAGGAGAAGCATGGGTGATGATGTATTCTCTTGTAGAATATACTTTAAAGGTAAAAACCTAAAGAACTGTGGATCCTGTAAATCAGGAACAAAAACAAAGTTGCTGGAAAAGCTCAGCCAATCACCAGTTCTGAGGAAAGGTCACCAGACCTGAAACGTTAACTCTGTTTTTTCCTTCACAGATGCTGCTAGACCTGCTGAGCTTTTCCAGCAACTTTGTTTTTGTTCCATACTTTAAAGATATATTGGCCCAGAGTTTTATTAAGATTTTGTTGTAACAAACACACATTAACATAAAATATTGTTTCTTTTTACTATTTATGTTTCATAGTAGATTTCTCCTAAATATTATTCTCCCAATTTATAATTACTTTTATTCTAAATTCTTTGTTGGTTGTTTGAGCTACTGAATGAACAGGTATATTGAGTCATAGGTGCATTTTTCAGTAATTTATCATTGTTCTGAACTTAGAATATTTGCAGATAACCTACATCAAATACCAAACAAAGTAGTTAACATACTCTAGAAACTATCAAGAACATCTTCCCATAAGTGTTTGCCACAATGTATTAGGTTATGAGCTTGATACTTTATGTAATAAGTGATTGTCCTTACCAGATCTTAAAGAAACTAGTGCATAAAAATCCAACATAAAACCAAAAATAGAAACAGAAAATGTTCAAAATGCATCCGCACCCAGAAAGAGAAATACAGTTTTTGTAAATACAGTTTCTGTAAAGTACGTCACAATTGGAAGTTGTGTTGTCTGATGAAACAAAATTTTTGGCAAATCATGAGTAATGTTCTTAAAATTCTATCCTTAAAAGTTGTATTATATGTATGATTAATAGTGTAAAAGATAAAAATTCTTGCTAGCCAGTTCCTGGGGTAAAAAGCATTGTCGGTGGAACATTGGTGAATTTGGCAGTTCTAATGTTAGCTGTACAGAGTTAATAGTATTTATCAAATATAAAATTAATGCATTAACTATCCAAAGGTGAATGAAAATGAAGGATTGAGCATTATAAAACACAGTCAAAAGGGAAGTTTCTTCCCTGGATGGGTTTGAGTTCTAGCTACCTTCTAGGACTATTTCCAGTTAATTTAGATGATGAAGAAATCTGAATCCTCCTTTAAGAGTTTTAATGAGAATTACTTATGTATAATAATCATTTTGAACCACTCTGATGTAAGGTGCCACCACTAGTACTCATTCATTTCTAGCAATTGAATGTTATTGAAAGCTTTGATGACTGTCTTAGTACCCTTTATGATATCTGTCCACAGGACTTTTTCAGAGAGCAATAGCACAAAGTGGTACCGCTTTGTCCAGCTGGGCAGTCAGCTATCAGCCAGCAAAGTTCGCAAGGCAGTTAGCCACTAAAGTTGGCTGCAACATGATAGATACCATTGACTTGATAGAATGCTTACGTACTAAACAGTACAAAGAACTTGTTGAACAAGACATCCAGCCTGCAAGATACCACATTGCCTTTGGACCAGTCATTGACGGAGATGTTATACCTGATGACCCTCAAATTCTAATGGAACAGGGTGAATTCCTTAACTATGACATAATGCTAGGAGTAAATCAAGGTGAGGGATATAAATTTGTCGAAAGCATAGTGGACAATGAGGATGGAGTTTCAGCCAGTGATTTCGACTTTGCTGTGTCTAATTTTGTGGATAACTTGTATGGTTATCCTGAAGGAAAGGATGTCCTGAGAGAGACCATTAAATTCATGTACACAGATTGGGCAGACCGGCACAATCCAGAAACACGGAGGAAAACATTGCTGGCTTTGTTTACTGACCATCAGTGGGTGGCACCAGCAGTGGCTACAGCTGATCTTCACTCGGGCTTTGGTTCACCTACTTTCTTCTATGCCTTTTATCATCACTGCCAGAGTGACATGATGCCAGCTTGGGCTGATGCTTCTCATGGAGATGAAATCCCTTATGTGTTTGGGGTCCCGATGATTGGTGCTACTGAACTGTTCCCTTGTAATTTCTCCAAAAATGATGTCATGCTAAGCGCCGTTGTGATGACATACTGGACTAACTTTGCAAAAACAGGGTAAGTAAATGGGAGGAGCTATTGGAATCTATAAAACAAAAATGCTCATTTTTGATGCTATGTTGGAAGTATTCCATTCTAGTCTATTGTCTGCTTACAATCTCTTGCCTAAAAAATTTAAGAGATCAAAGCATTCAAAATTTGATTTCATTTAGATTATGTTAAATATTTATGGTCATATTTGTCTATTGTTATTGCTAACAGTTAAAGCTGCAGTCCCTGCAGGTACTTCTTAGACATTAGCCCATAAATATTTTGAAAATCTCTTCATCAAAGAGTTCTCTATTTTCCCTCATACTGAAATTCCGACCGCAGCTACTCAGTACACTGTCAGCAATCCCAGTAGAAATCTATAAAATATAGGACAAGAAATTACTCTATTCATTCTGGCTAAGATGTACAGCATGTTAAAATTGTGATTGGCAGATTGTAGTGTAAACAGAACAGGAATTTATTACATTTGAAAATATTATATCAACGTGTCAAAAATAGAATGAAGTTGAACTGGGATTTTTTTAACCAAATCTAATTAGTCATCACTTGTGATTATTATTATTCAAAATCATAGAGTCACAGGAAGATATAATGCAGAAAGATATAATGCAATTCAAGCTATTGTGTCTTTGCCAGTATCCAATCCAAACAGCCCTGCTCCGTAGCCCTGTGTTTTTCTTTTCATGTATATATTTAATTATCTTTTGAATGTTACATGTTGAATCTGCATCCAACACAGTTTTGACTAAAGCATTCCAGTTCACAACAAGCTTAAAAAAAGTATTGTCACGTTGCCGCTGGTTCTTTAGCCAGTCACTTTTAATCTGTGTCCTCTGCTTACCAATCCTTCTGTTACTGCAAGTAATTTCTCCCCATGTACTCATTTCTTCCATATAAACTATTCATAACTTTGAACACCTCAATGAAATCTCCTTTCAATCTTCTTTGCTCCAAGCAGCATAGTCCCAACTTCACTAGTTTCACGCATAACCAAAGTTCTTCATCCTTGATATCTGTTCTGCACCCTCTCCAAGGCCTTGATATCCTTTCTGTAATATAATGCCAGAATTAATCATTCCAGCTAAGATCTAACCAGTGATTTCTAAATGTTTAGCCTAATTTCTTTGCATTTGTACTACCTCTGTCAATAAAGCCAAGTATCTTATATGCGTTTTAACAACCTTTTCAAATTGCTCTGTCACTTTCAAAGATTTGTATACATATCAAAAGTTTGCCATTGACACAAAACTAGTTTGAAATGTTAGTTTTGAGGAGTATACAAATAGGCATCAAAGGGATTTAGATAGGATGAGTAGGCAAGAACATTGAAGGTGGAATATAATTTGGAAAAATGTGAAATTATCCACTTTAGTCGAAAAAAATAGAAATGTAGAATATTACTTAAATGATGTGAGATTTTGATGTCCAAAGAGACATAAGTATCCCTGTTTTGAGCTAAATTCCATAATCTTGTGTATTTTTACTAGTCTATCTGTATCCCCATGAAATCTATTATTCTCCTCATAGTTAACTACACTTCCAAGCTTCATATCATCTGCAAACCTTTGGAATTGTGCCCTATATAGCTAAGTCCAAGCAATTAATATATATCTGTAAGAGTAGTTGTCCTCACGCCAACCCATAAGGAACACCATTGCATACTTCTTTCCAATCTGAAAAGCAATCTTTCTCCCGTGCTCTACATTATATCCCATAGCCAATTTTGCTGTAAAAGTCCTTTTAATTCTATAGTCTTTAATTATCAAATGCCTCTTGAAAATCCACACATTCCACAATATCATTGTTACTAGTTCAAGTTATTTCATTAAATATTCATGTTTGCAACTCTATGTTGACTTTAATTTGTTAGCCCATTCTTTTCAAATACCAATTAAGTTTCACCAGATTATTGTCACAAATGATTTTCCTAGCACTAACAATAGTCTGAATGGCTTGGTTGCAGGATATACCTGTCTTGATATTTTTGAACAGGGGTGTAGTATTTGCAATCCTCCTGTCCATTGACACCAATAAGATTGTGTGACAACCTCCTGTAATTTCCATCCTTACTTCCCTGAGTCACAAAGGATGCATTCATCTGAACCAGTAGCTTTTCTGCTTTGTGGATTTTGAAAGTACATTTTTATTTTTATTACCCTGTCAAGTATTGTTACTGCTTCCTCTTTACGTGCCACATTGGTGGCATCTCATTCACTGATAAAAACAGATGCACGGTACTTATTTAGCTCCTCATGCCCTTTGCTGCCATAACAAGATCTCCTGTTTGATTCCTAATCACTCTTTCTTTGACTACCTATTTCCTGCTTACTTCATTATAAAAGACTGTGTTTCTCTTTAATGTTATCTTATAATCTAACCTTATATTTTCTTTTCACCCTTTAATTCATATTCTTGAAACATTGTACTTTCTATGTTCAGCTTGGTTTTCTGTTGTATTATGAACCTTGCAATAGTTAGAAGTCTCCTTTTATCTGTCTCATTTGAAATGTTAATCACTCATGGATCTGTAGCTGTGGATACCCTTCTTTGCCCCCTCGTGGGAATGTGCCTATTCTGTGCATCTAGCACCTCCTCCTTTACTATTTTGCTATAATTCTTGATGTCTATCCGACTGCACCTGTTCTTTTCGTAAATTCACTGAAGTTAGCCCTCTTCTAGTTATGTGTCTTTATGCTTGATTAAACCATGACATTTTTCATATATATTCTTATTTTATGACCACAGTTCCCAAAATGCCCTTTCACTGTAAGTGCTCGGCTTGCACCACTTCCTTCCCCAGAATAAGAACCAACACTGCTTCCTGCCTTCTTGTTTAGAATTTCAGGAATTTTCTAAATATTTCAGGAATTCTTCCTCCTCTTTGCCCTTTACACTGTTATGATTCCTGGCTATATTAGGGTAGCCGCAGGCATCAATCGTTGCTACACAAATTTTCTTTGCATCTTTTTATAATCTATTTGCAAACATTCTCTTCTGCTTCCTTTTCGGTGTTTCGTAGCCTATGGTCTTATAGTGTAATAGTTTGACTATTGTTTCTTAATTCTAACCAAATAGACTTTTCCCCTCAATGATGTGATCCCTCTCCAGTGCTGTGTGATTCCTTTGGTCAACATTGTTTCCAATCCTCCTTCCCCACCCCCACCCTTATTCCTTCTGTGCCTTTTCTGAATGCGTGTGGCCTTCCTTCTTTGCCAGGTCTCTGTATTTGCCAATATACCATATTCTCACATGGAGAGTTAGATTACCAATCTTATTTGCCACACTATATGTATACACATGCGTGCATCTAAGGCTCATCTTAGGCTGACTTGCATTTTCCTCTGTACGATCCCTCCAAAACATAAAAAGTGAGGGATTCTAGCTTTGAATATTTATTGAACTAAATTGGGATGTATGATTGAGTAAAAGCAAGCCAAATAATTTTCAATAAGGTCAATTTTTATGTTATACATAGGATTCACCTTCAAGGTAATGAGACATTATATTGCCCAGTTAGACTCATGTTAATTTTACTGTATATGGCACAAGCAATAATTACTTTAAAACATATGCAGCAATATTTATTGCCAATTCAATACACAAGTGTCTAGTGTGTAAAACATAAAATTTGAAATCTAAGGAAAATTTTTTTTGAATTTATGAAATTTCTCTGTGATCGATAAAGTCCAAATTTATTTCCTACAGAGACCCAAATCAACCTGTTCCTCAGGATACTAAATTTATCCACACGAAGCCGAACCGTTTTGAAGAGGTTGCCTGGTCAAGGTATTCTCAGAAAGACCAACTTTATCTTCACATTGGACTCAAACCACGAGTTAAAGAGCATTACAGAGCTAATAAAGTCAATTTATGGTTGGAGTTGGTTCCTCACTTACATAGTCTGAATGACATTTCTCAGTACACTTCAACAACAACAAAAGTCCCTTCAGAAATTACGCACAGACCATCCAAGAAGTGGTCTGTTACTACCAAGCGTCCTGCGACATCAGTCTTTCCTACTGTCAAACAGGATGACCAGAAGCATTCAGGTGGTCCTTTCTTGGTTGATCAAAGAGACTATTCAACAGAGTTAAGTGTTACAATTGCAGTTGGAGCCTCCTTATTATTTTTGAACATCCTCGCCTTTGCAGCATTGTATTATAAGAAGGATAAGAGGAGGCATGATGTGCACAGAAGATGCAGCCCTCAACGTAACACTACCAATGACCTGACTCATGCACAAGAAGAAGAGATTATGTCGCTACAGATGAAGCACACAGATCTTGATCATGAATGTGATTCTATCCATCCACATGAGGTTGTTCTGCGGACAGCCTGTCCTCCGGATTATACATTAGCAATGAGGCGATCTCCAGATGATATACCTTTAATGACCCCCAACACCATTACACTGATTCCAAATACCATACCTGGAATGCAGCCTCTGCATACATTCAACACATTTACTGGAGGACAAAACAACACCCTTCCACATCCTCATCCCCATTCACATTCAACAACCAGGGTATAGCCAGACAAAGATTTTAAGAAAATCAGAAATTAAACAGGTATGAGATTGCTAGTGAAGATCATATTTAAATTGGTGTTCATGGTGCATGACCATTACTAAACAATAGGAGGAAACAATCTATTGGAAATTGTATCCAATATCGTTGGGCATATTCCTGAAAGGCAAGTAAGTTTGGAAACATCTGATCAATTTAAAACGAAAATTCTCATAAATGGCAATCTTTCACAATTCTGTTGGAAACTGAGAAGTATTTTTCTCTGAAGACTTGGAACTACATGTTAAGCTTTGGTGCCAAAAGCAATGTTGTACCATTAGGCATGTGTGTTACAAATGAAGAAAGATTTAACAAACAAACATGAAGCCTACACAAATGCACAAGGAGCAGATTCGTAAGATGACACAAATTCTGTTTATTTTATTTTTGGATCAATGCCATTGTACAAATTTACGTATGAATGTACATGAAGTACATACTATTGAGTTTTGGGTAGAGTATTCATGCACAAGGATTTTACTGCTGTCTTTTAGTAAGACAGAAGAATAAACCAGTTACTGCCATGAACAGCTTTTTGCAAAGTGTTATTGACACAATTTTGGCAAACGTGGAAACAGGACATTTTTAGCACGATACGCATGATTATTTATCTGCTTGGTGACTGTGCTGCTCAATAAGCTGTGATAAGAACATACATTGCATCCCCATTCAAGTTCCAGTTAAAAAACACTTCCTTCATCAAACGGCACAAACTGAGGAAGAGTTTGATGCAAATTCAATATGATAAGCTCTTTGTAGTTTTAATGAAAAAGATCAAAGAAAGTAGTTTTGTATAAATGTGTGCTAGAATAACTGTTAAAGTGAACATTCACAATCATAAGTTCTAGAAAAGGGAATTTTCAGTGTTGTAATTTTTTTCATCAAACTCCTTTCCCTTTCTAGCTTTATTTAGTGTCAATTTATGAGACAGGTCGTGCAGTAAGGGAAGTCTGGTTTGCTGTAATTTATCTATAGATATTTTTGAAGTTGTTTACAAGAGTATGTTTGCCCTATAAGTTTGTGCAGAGGCTGATGAGGAAACAGATCATATGCCAATGTAAGTGGAAGTTACAATAAATGCTGATTCAGTATTAGTTTTATTAATGGACAATTTGATAGGATTTTATAAGACTGTATATGCAGTGAGAATGACATTTGTCTTTCTAATAATTCAGAACTATAAAGGTGAGATCAGTCATGCTGTACTAATATGAGATATATGGAAAAATGGCAGAAAATTATTATTGCTAATCATTCTTGTTTCTATTAGCTACGTGAATTGAAAGTTTACAACTTGCTCAATATAATGTTACCATGTAGCATTGATTGGATGTAATACCACTGCCACTTTTTAAGAGGATATTAATGTTGCCAGAAGTACTTTCACCAAATTATATTTTATTTTTTGTGGTATGAATAGCTTACAACGTTTTCTTGATTTGTTGTGCATGCCTAAAAGCTCTTTTATTTAACTGAAAGCACGTTACCACAAAATTAATTTTTGTCACTTTTTGAATATTAGTTGCTGGCATTTTTGTCGTACAGCCATTTAAATACTTGTCTGATCATCTGCTCCATACTTACAATCAGTGTGTAATAGGTACTATATGATTCACTCTAAATCATATAAATGTCAAAGAGACAAATTAAAATCAATAATTTAGTGTCACATACATATTTACTGTTCACTTAAAGTATTTTCTAGTAACTGCAAGAATCAGGACTGATTTAGATGTGTTTTTTTCTCTTAAATTAAAGTTTTTCAAGAATAGTGGGAATAAAGAAGTAATTGGAAGAAACTCCAAACAGGCTTGGGATTTGTGAGGCAGTTTGTAAAGGGAAGGGATAACACTCACTAATTGCTTAATTCAATGTTAAAAATTAAAGGTTTTTGACTTTAATGGGTTCTCTGAAGTCTTAACACAGTTAATTAACTCTCACATAATAGGTTGTGACATGAAAAGCGATTGTTTAATTGTTATCATCCGTTCTTTTAAAAAATTGGTGACCTTTGACATTGGACATTATTTTTGAAGAAGTTCCCTTTTAGTAACCACACGCTTTAGTAATATGAAATTCATTTAAAATCAGCAGTTGGAAATTTGCCTTCTGTAATATTATATGATGTGTTTCTGTAAATTGGTTACCTGGAACTGCTGTAATTTTACAGCCAATAGCTTTATTGTGTTGAACATAAAAAAGGTAGATTTCAAAAACTATTCAATATTGGAACAATAGAAACTCTAAACACTCTGTAGTAAACACCTTTTTTTAAATATTTTGTTCATGAAAAGCTTGCTCTGGGGCTCCTTGAGAAGAAACAGAACTGTATGAAAATTTTGTAAATACTAGAAGATGAGCGCTCTGTTCAGACAGCCCTCAGTGATGTTAACTGTAAAATGTATGTAGAAGGTTGAAAGATGTTCATAGTTGAAGGCATGCAGTATAGCACGAATTGAAATTCCCTTTCCTTTTAGTAGGGATGTGCTATTTATAAAATCATACAATAATGAAAGCTCTTGGGAGAAGGTTTAGAATCTGAATGAATGCTTGCATCTAATTAAACTTTTTCCTGCAATATTGAGATTTTACCACTTATGTTGATTTAGAATTTCTTTTGCGTTAAAATTATAAAGTATTAGCAAAAACTCAGACTGAACTTCTGACATATTTCAGCTTTAATGTTGTGAGAAGATGGTTACTGAAATCTGTTGTGTGTATTTCACATGAATATTGTGACACAATTAGGGAAATTAAAATAATAAGATGATCAAAAGTGCCCTGACACTTCTTGTTGCTTGTAAATTGTTTCTCCTGTGCTGATTGTTTCAGGCATTTTGGCTTTTTCATTTTCCAGTGATAAGTTGTATTTGAATATTGCTACTTAATGTAAGTGGCATTAGATAAGTTAACTAAATGGTTCTTCTTATGGAACATTCACCAAAAATATTTGATTATTAAATTGCACAATAATCATTTGTTTAGGATCTTTTCACAGCCAGAGTTCATAGCATAATGCATAGTCTGCAAGTATTTGGCATTACACATTTAATGATTTTGTCATTTGTATTTATCAAGCATATTCCTGCCATTTGGCACAAGCAGGTGCAACCATTTCATTTTGTTTGTAAAGGCTTGAAAACTTCAAGTGACTATAAGAATTGTGTTTAAACATCCATGACTTTCAAGTTTTTTTTTAATATCATTAATAAATATTGGCATATTTTTAACTGGTCTAGGCTGGTCCTCATTGTTCATTAGTCACTTGTTACATTGTGACTGAAGACACTGTTTTGTCATCGGTATTTAATATTACTAAAATAAACACTAAAATCTTATTTACAATGTTTTAATGTTAAAATGTCTTAATTTTCTACTTGGGACGTGATATATTTGTCCAAAATTCTCCCTGCTCTTCACAAAGATGGTGACTTAGGCAGGAGTATTGTTCAACAGATGCCTGCAGCCTTCTGGTATTTCGCCAAAGTGGGACTTCTTTTCACATGCAAGTCCAAATAGCAAGTTTCAGCAGGGTATATGACAATGGTACAGTTTCTTGATCTCATTAGCATGCCAGAAGTCACTGGATAGCTAGAAAGAACAGGGACTCTGTTATATTTTGCAACACTCACACTGTGGCCCGGTTTAGTTTGATGGTTCAAAACCATGAACTTCCTGTTCTGGACGGTTCACCATTATACAAGCACAATCCATAACAGGACCTCGGAATTATTGGATTGCTATTATCTTAGAGTTATTATTTTGTAAGAACTGTAAAATTGGTAGCTGGAATCCTGCTCACTTATATCCACAGTTTAGAATTGAATTCTTCCCAGACTGTCATGATCGAGGTCAGTTATATCTCTCTCTCTATACACATGAAAGTGGAATTAGTTTTGGGCGGTCTCAAATTGTTTGATTTTGGGCACTGACCTGTGGACTGACTGCCAGTACTACTCAGATAGTCTATAGAGGATTGATGTTGGAGAAATTGAGAAAAATTATATGAGTAGTCTTCTGAGGTAGGGTTAAAATGCACTGTTGGAGCAATGTATCAGTAAATCCATTCTAAACCTAATCTCAAGATTTGCTGGGGATGTAAAACAGGTAGTTTCAATTTCAGTGTAAGTTCTACACCCTGACTGATATCCTTTTGCATTGAAGATGATTGATTATTTGCCCATTGTATGTACATCTGATCTGGAGGGTATGCTGAAACTGGATCCAAACAATAAATAGGAAATGCAAAAAAATCTTAATCCCAGAATCAACATGTCTCTTTAAGAGCACATTATAAACCTAAAATATTTTTACAAAACAAAATGTTATTGTGTAGTCAGTGGTCCGACATGTTGATGTCTTTGCTGATGCTGCCAAGCCTGATGATCAGTGCAGTTTAAAACTCTGTACCGTACTATACTGTCAGTTTGCAGTGTTTATATCTGTATATAGTTTTATTATTGTACAAATAAAATTTATAAAAACAATAATTTAATGCTTCTCTCTTTGATTAATGCAGTTATACCCCCATAAAAGATTCTTGTTATATATTAATCATAACCTTATATGACAAATTTTATCACTTTATTAAAAATGGATGCCTACTTGTGCTACAGTAGAGATATAGTGACAAAAGGACTTGATGCTAATTGGAGTTTTCATTTGATCTTAATTCCTCAGTGCAGTGGATCTGAATTTTCATACTGCTATTCAACAACTCGCCATTGATGGACTGTTTAATATATAAAACATTCCAAGTTGCTCCATAGAGTTGAAAAGAAAACATTGATGTGGATAAAATTAGGAAAGATGGTCAAAGTCTGATGAAATGGTTTAAGAAAGATCTTCAGGGAGGAGAGAGAAGTAAGAAAAAACAGAGATGTTGAAACATGTAATCCCATGGAGGCTCAGCAGCTGAAAATATAGCTGCTGGTGGTGAGTTGATGGAAGGTGAGAAGAAAAGGGC